CACTGTATATATATATATATAGGCGCTTGTGTGTATTCGTTTGTAATTGTAGCTACCTATCCATTTATTCATCAGTTTATCTATCCTTGCATCTCGTTTCATATAATCCACACAGCAATCGCTTAATTAATCGGTGTATGCAAATACCTTTTTACAACTTCCATACCTTTCACGTGCATGCGTGCATGAATATGCTTTGAAAGACCACTTCCAATTTGTAGTGGTGCTCTGGGAGAGGCGTAGAATAGGAGTTGTTATGGTGGACCGCTGACGGTTGAAATGCTCTTTCGGCGTTCATTTCATTTGACGAGGCGCATGAAGGGGACTCAACTGCATTTCGAGTGAAGCTGTCTGCTAACCGGCACACACAAACAGCAGGCCGACGCACATACATTCCGAGTTGCACATCATCTGAACCGACTGAATCACTTCACATCTCATCAGAGTGCACATCTTGGAAGAATAGACAAGTCCACTGAAAGCGCATGTGATTGCCTCGGTGAGACGGCGTCAGCAAGATGGTTGCCGTGAAGCAAACCAATGTCCGTGTTCAAATGGATTTGGCATCATCTTCCGGGAGCTCTTCTTTACATTCACACTTTTCTTGCTCATCCTCACAGACCCTCGTCGATTGGTTGTCTTTCCGCCCTCAGTTCATTGTTCCACGAGCCATCGTCTGTCATGCGAGCAGCCACGTTGGTCGACTGGGAAGGTGGACTTCACGAAACTCCACAAAGTCCCGCATTGCGTCCAAATTGTCGCAAAAATGTTGTTTCTTCGTGCTCCAGCGACATTAGACCAGGCCGACTGGAGCCTCAATGCTTCCATCATCCTTGAAGTGTCTCCAAGGTGTGTCGATTGGTTTTTGGCGGACTAGCGAAAAATTGCGTCTTTTGAAGAAGTGCTCTTTCGCCTTCTCTCTCTCTCTCTCACACACGATCCCTGCAGACGCCCCTCGGCAACATGACTGACGGGACTTCGTTGTATACATCGCGTGAAGAAGAGGCGGTACCTCTTCAAAGTTTGCACATGCAGACGCTTCAACCAACCAATGAGCCCCCCTCCACATCAAGAAAAAGTAAGAGAGAAAAAGCAAATAACAAAAGTGCCTTCAGAAATATGCAAAGAAACCGACAGAGTGAGAGTGAAAGAAGGAGAGAGGAAGAGAGAGCTTTAATAAAATTAGTTAAACATAGCAACAATGACGCACTCAGCTCCTCTATGGACGGCAGGTAGATGCTTCCGCTCAGCGGACGGGGTACATTCTCCACCCATTCTCCGGAGAAGTTGCCCGGAGGCATGTAGTTGCCAACAGTGACCACTTGGCGCTCGTCCGTCGTCTTGGCGGTGCCGAAACCCGCGAACTCAGTGGCCTTCCAGACGACCTGAGAGAAGTGGCCTGGAGACGAGGAAAGGAGACAGAATGACTCGAGACAGGTACAAATCATTGCCTACACAAAGCCAATTTGACGCTCCCCCTCGGGCCTCAGTCGATCAGATTGGTCATGCTCTCACTTCCTGTTGTCAGGGCAACAGAAGAGCGCCAGCAAGATCAGATCGGCTTGCAGTTCTTCAGAAGGCTTGATTTAATTTTTATTGCCAACTAACTCTACTGAAATCATTTAAGTAGCGAGTGAAGCTAGCCTTTGTTTTTCTGTTTCCGCCGGCCTGTCCATCAGTTTTATCCATTTATCAGTCTATCTGTCCACCTCTCAAACTATCTATCCACTAATCCTTGCTCGAACGGTTTATGTATTTGTTTATCTACAGACGCCATTGCCTATTCGGACATTTTGCTACTTGGCAACTGTTTGTAGATCTAATGTCAGCCAAAGTCGTTTAAGTTGATGCAAGAGGTAAATAATGCATTTCGTGTTGGCAAACTGGCACATACCGGCATCTTCACACGATCGTCTGCCGCATTCACAACCTTATCCCGGGCCCTTGGGCATAGACGGTGTATACACCATAGAATTGGTGAAAATTCATTGGGTCAAGTTGTGAAGACTCACTGGGCAATATCGGTTTGCGGTGGGACTTGGGCAAAAGTCGGTCTCAGGATGTAGACAAAGTGAAGAAGCAATCATAGGCAAGGTTTTTTTTATCTATGCGCTTTGGAACTGGTAGAAAATGGTTTTTCGGTTGAGCCAAAGATCTGACGTTGGCTTAGAATGAGCAGAAAGTAAACGAAGACCTTGAAATTTGGTCAACCTTCCTGAGATGGGTTGGTTCATTTTAGGCTCCAGGACAGTTCAAAGGCTCACGAATGGTTGGGACTTATGCCTAAACCAACCCTTGGTTACTCAATCGTCGTAACTTCGGATCAGGATCCTGACTGGAGCAAGGCTGGCTGGCTGCCTTGGCGAATTGTCCGAATGACTTTTGTGGCACAATTGAATAGCTTACCGCATTTTAACTGATCCTCTTTGGCGAAGTCGTAGTCTTTGATTTCACTGTACCACATGCAGGTCGCCTGTTTGCCTGAAAAAGACAGAAACCGCGGCATTACAACACGTCCATCTCGGATCAGGATACAGTAAGAAAAAAAACTTTTACATATATACATATTTATACATATTTATATGTATATATGTATTTGTTGTCACGAATGCTTGCGATTGAGATGGCGTAGCCGATGTTTTGATCGCAGTTCAAAACTCGATCGCGTTGTCATGGTCATCCTGAGGAAGACGCCAGAATAGTCAGGATCACTTGCAGCCTCGGAGCGTATATTTGATGCTGGTCAGCATCGTCTACAACTTTGACGAGATGGATCTTCGGACAGAGCATGACAAGACTCGCTGATAATGTCGACCAAAAAAGCCAGAAAAGCGTCAGTGAATGTTGTGAAACAGGAAATTGTCATTACTTCGCACATGGTGCCTTCATCGAATTGACTACCCTGACAACGCGGCCAAGTTGACAAAAAATGGCATCAAACAACTGCACTAAGAAGGTCTCGAGACTGTTACTAATTGAACATTATCTTGTTCATATGATAGCGCCTCTCGACGCAAATGAGGATATCGAAGCCTACTACTCATTTGGAATATAAGTAACCCAGTCTGTTGTAATGAAATGACCAATGGTATGACCAAGTTCAGTGATCTAGAATTTCGAAAATATTTTCCTTATGAATGTCTCACGATTGACATGATGATGCTAATAAAATGATGAAAATGATGAAGGTGAAGGTGGCAACTACGAAGGAAGAGTGCTTGCGTCCGACCCCTCAGTCGAAGCTTTTTGTTTCTGATTGCATAAAAAAGAGAAGGTTTGTTCTGAAATATTCTACGCGTCTCTTCAATAAGTGGCTAAGTTGGTTTCAATACCACATAAATATTTTTTGCTAGGAAATGGGTCGAATCATAGTTGAATATTTACGCCATGTGATACTGTCCAATTTCAATTCGCCTTGCCTTACAAAAGGTATTTTCATCCCTCGAACGAAGCTCGAATTCGGGTTGTGCATCATTACACAAAATAATGTTTGGCCTTCAAAGCGACCCTTTTTGATTTGTTGTGATACAAGGAAAGGAAAGGAAAAGTTTGTTGGAGGGAATTCGTGAATTGGCCTCAATAAAGCTGAATGAGGATTGCTTTGGAGTGAAGTCTGTTGGAGCTGATACAGAATATGCATTTGCTATTTCAGCCGATGATGCTACTTATAGTAAAAGTAAGTAGGTCGCAATAAAACCCGATGCAGGAATAAGACTTGACAATAATGGCAAAGGATGCAGTACTAGGTAGGCCCTTTGGGGTTACCCCCAGACACAACCAAGCTGTGAAGGCAAGTAACAACGAGACCAGATACAGTTAAAGGAGGTGGTGGTGCGACAAACTTGGAAAAATGTTGAATAATCTCTTTTGGAAAGTGAGTATGCCCCCCTCCGGGTTAAAGGATGAAATTATGTTAGTGTCTTTTGATCACTTGACGACTGTTGAACTGATAGACAATGAACAATTGCACTAGATCCTGCTTAGACTTAGCTCTAACTATTCTCATGTCCTTCCACAAAACATGTACAAATTGAAAGTGACACCAATTTGGAAAGGTCTGGCTTGGTTTTAAGGTCACCTATGCCGTTACAGGCCATGGCAACCGGTGAGCATGTGACAGAATGACAACATGTTGCTGCCTGACGCGTGTGCCCCGGGTTCGAGTCCCGTCGGAGAGTGATGCCAAGACGATGAGGCGAAAGAAAAGCCGAAATGTCTCAAGTTTTTGTGGAAGCAAGGCAAGAGGTCGAAAAGTGTAGTTGAGATGGTGCGACGAGGCTGCAGATGGCCGACAGGAAGAAGAGACGTGAAAGATGAGTGAGACGGCAAAATGAAGAAACAGCAAAATGAGGCTGAAGTGGTAGGGTTTGATAAAAAAAATGGCAACCTCACCGGTCATGTGACATTTGGTCGGGCTCTGCTGCGTCGCCAAGTTCTCGCCGTACTCCACGGCCTGACTGTGCTGAAGGCGTCCCTTCTGGATGAGCTCCTCGGCAAACGCCTGAGCCTTCCGCGCCAGACGAGGGCTGAACTGGAGCGGCGGACAACCGTGCAACGAGCGGAGGCTGAGAGCAAAAGAATGGTTGTGTAAGTCGGACGGTCGAGAGGGTGCAAACTGGACCGATGAGGGTCGCCAGCAAGAGACAATAACTGGGCGGTGATGCAGTGCGACGAGGCGCGACGAGAGAGAGTCATTTGGGATGGGTTGGGATGGGATGAGGTTGGTTCTGGTTTGGTTCGGGTTTGGTTGAGGTTGGTTGGTGTCAATTGTGTTGGGTTGCGGTGAGATGAGACTGTTGATATTGGCTTGGGTGCGGTGAGAAGAGCTGTTTCGAGTTTGCTTACGGTTGGATAGCAGCAAGGCTATGTCAGCTATGCTCAAGGCATTGTGGGAAAATCACCTTAAACGAAATTGGGTGAATACATCTCATACTACTGATTTACTGGTAGACCGGAAACAGTACTTAAATGCGAAAAATATAATA